TAACGTCCATACAACTCCACTTACCAAGATACATCAATCACTCATATCAAACATATAACGTCCATACACCTCCGCTTACCCAGATACATCGATCACTCATATCAAACATATAACGTCCATACACCTCCACTTACCAAGATACATCGATCACTCATATCAAACATATAACGTCCATACACCTCCGCTTACCCAGATACATCGATCACTCATATCAAACATACAACGTCCATACACCTCCACTTACCCAGATACATCGATCACTCATATCAAACATACAACTTCCATACACCTCCACTAACCTAGATACATCAATCACTCATATCAAACATATAACGTCCATACACCTCCGCCTACCCAGATACATCAATCACTCATATCAAACATATAACGTCCATACACCTCCACTTACCCAGATACATCAATCACTCATGATCATATCAAACATACAACGCCCATACACCTCCGCTTACCCAGATACATCGATCACTCATATCAAACATACAACGTCCATACACCTCCGCTTACCCAGATACATCGATCACTCATATCAAACATACAACGTCCATACACCTCCGCTTACCCAGATACATCGATCACTCATATCAAACATATAACGTCCATACACCTCCGCTTACCCAGATACATCAATCACTCATATCAAACATATAACGTCCATATACCTCCGCTTACCCAGATACATCGATCACTCATATCAAACATATAACGTCCATACACCTCCACTGACCAAGATACATCGATCACTCATATCAAACATATAACGTCCATACACCTCCGCTTACCCAGATACATCGATCACTCATATCAAACATACAACGTCCATACACCTCCACTTACCCAGATACATCGATCACTCATATCAAACATACAACGTCCATACACCTCCACTAACCTAGATACATCAATCACTCATATCAAACATATAACGTCCATACACCTCCGCTTACCCAGATACATCAATCACTCATATCAAACATATAACGTCCATACACCTCCACTTACCCAGATACATCAATCACTCATGATCATATCAAACATACAACGCCCATACACCTCCGCTTACCCAGATACATCGATCACTCATATCAAACATACAACGTCCATACACCTCCGCTTACCCAGATACATCGATCACTCATATCAAACATACAACGTCCATCACCTCCACTTACCCAGATACATCGATCACTCATATCAAACATATAACGTCCATACACCTCCGCTTACCCAGATACATCAATCACTCATATCAAACATATAACGTCCATACACCTCCGCTTACCAAGATACATCGATCACTCATATCAAACATATAACGTCCATACACCTCCGCTTACCCAGATACATCAATCACTCATATCAAACATACAACGTCCATACACCTCCGCTTACCAAGATACATCAATCACTCATATCAAACATATAACGCCCATACACCTCCGCTTACCCAGATACATCAATCACTCATATCAAACATATAACGTCCATACACCTCCACTTACCCAGATACATCAATCACTCATGATCATATCAAACATACAACGCCCATACACCTCCGCTTACCCAGATACATCGATCACTCATATCAAACATACAACGTCCATACACCTCCGCTTACCCAGATACATCGATCACTCATATCAAACATACAACGTCCATACACCTCCACTTACCTAGATACATCGATCACTCATATCAAACATACAACGTCCATACACCTCCACTTACCCAGATACATCGATCACTCATATCAAACATACAACATCCATACTCCTCCACTGACCCAGATACATCAGTCACTCATATCAAACAGATATATAAACTTACATCCACTTGCCGTTACTGCACATGCAGTTTATACCATATGCTATGTAGTTGGTTATTTATGTACATTTACAGTTTGATACTAAAGTCATGATGAATTCATCTACACACTATAAATATCAACGGTACATGATAGTTCTAATATATCCAATCAGAAATGCACTACAAAATACATCCTATTTCTGATATCAATAATTGATTTAAGGTATATAATGCTTAAGTATTAAACATAACTAATGAATATATTCTTAGGAATACTACTACCCGTATCCCCGCCCAAAAGTTATATATGTATGCATTGCCGTTCAATCCATTTACTTATTTATATATGTTTTAGGAGGTTACGGGCGGAAGTCTTACCAAGTATTCACTACATTAATCTTCATGGCCAAGCGGACTTTTGAGGACTTTTGAATATTTAAACATCATGCTACTAAAAGCTGTAATATGTTGAATAAAAGCAAATGTACTCGGTGGTTGAATTTGGACTTCAATTTATGTGATCGTTTCCACACAGATACATGTTTAACCTACTGATTATCATGTCCAAGCAGTTTATTTACCGAAAACGGATTATTACAATATTTACCTGATATATACGATGTGTACCAATAGGAAGTCATACACATGTTTCTCTATACTGATCAACTGACTGGGAAAGCTTCTGAGTTTGAATGTCACTAAATGGAAAACAAAGACGAATGACGTTGTTAACATGAACGTAATCAATAAGGTCATCATCTGATAATATCACCTTTAAGAAATTAAAGTAATTGTGCCCTGAGCACACATGGGGTTCAAAAAGACAGTTTACAACCAGATATGGGAAAAGACGAAAATACTGAAACTGTTCCTGTTAATGGTGTTGCCGGGTGACCACTAACGCGTGTGAACACCTCTTTTTGAGCATAAAAATAGGTCAACTCAGAATGAAGAGTAAAACTAATATTGCATATCATTTATCACGTCATTTACATGACAACAATACAAGATACATTCAAACTGTGAAAAGTGAGTGCCAGCCTACTCACTATGTAACAATAAATGTCAACATTAATAACGAAACAACGTAGCAAGCACATATGTTGATTATGCCAAACATACACTGTTGCACAAATATATACACACAATATTTCAGAAATTAACAAGTCACGGAAGTGTACGTAAATTGCGACTGTCTCGCAAAACGTGGCTGAAAGTACAAGTGTCTCCCTTGTATTTGTTTGTCGAACTGTCTGATATAAATGTTGGACTTCAAGGCGACCTTATAAAGTTAGTGATTTTGTTGGTTTTGTTTAACGCCGCTTTGAACAGTATTTCAATTATATCACGGCGTGTCAATTTGATGCAGGTCTCAGTCGTTCGCCGACGGACAGACAGATATATACAGACAGACTTTACTCAGTAATTTTGGCCCCTAGATCCTTAATACAAGCAAGATAGGGGTGGGTGGGGGTGGGTGGGGTGATTAAATGTACTTGCTAAATAAACGGCTGGAGGAAAGTGCGCTTCACAGGGATAGGTGATTTGCTTCTAATCTTTAGTAATGACAAAGGAATTTAATCAAACATGTAATACTATGCATATTGTCTGTTATGGCGGCTGCATTTAACAGCACGTCTGAAGAAACATGTTTAATATGTTCCGTCGATAAGAGAGAAGGTCACAAGTTAAATAGGTTCCTACCTTTTGTAAAGATTTAAACTGAGAATAAGAGTTACAGTTAGATAATGCGTCGAGGGAGTGATGCCAATATTGAAAGCAGCAGTTATAAAATCTCGGTTCAGAGATTGCCATCAAAAATGAGATGCAACCCATGTCCTGAGAAAGCCATGTAAATCCAAAACCATATCAAAATAAAAATATTTTTTCTATGAGATGGCCACTTGTTTTTTACCATTATCCTCAAGAGTTTTTATAATTTTATCTGCTTGATGGGGAAGTATATGCTGAGGATACCAACCTTTGCTGATGGGTGGATCATCAACTGATGACAGCTACATCTAAATCTTGACAATAGTGTAGAGCTGACTTATGTAAGATATACGTCTGTAAAACTGATGTGTAGGTCGAATATGCCATCAGCTATGCATTTGATGATATTGATGAATGCCATCGTTTAAAGGATAAACATTACCATCATCTTGCATAATTCAGGCAAAGCAAAAGCCAAACTAGAATTAGATTGTGGCAAGATAGTTGATGAAATTATGAAGATTTGGGGACTCAGGATACACGCTTGACGAATGCCAGTGCTACATTTAAAGGATGGTGATAAGTAAGAATCAGTTCTAACACAAGCCCTAGGTGATGAACACACGTTCACATCAAACTTGAAGAATGTACATCTAACACCAGGTTTAAGAATATTTAAACAATATTTCATGATTTATGCAGCCAAAAGGCGAACTGGCATTCCAACCCACCAGCATACGTTTCTGGCGTGCCCAAGGGACGCAACTCTTTACAGCCAACTGCGGCACCTCAGACAACTGGGCCACCCGTGCCGCCGATTGTGTTTGAGAGACTCATTATGACTTTAATTAAAAAAAACTATTTTCAAGACAGTTTATGGGAGAGTCCGTGTGTATAGACGCAGAGGGCACGCCTTGCACGTGTGTACACCCAGGACGCCCACCCATTTGGACGAGTTGGTGTTATGGTATGGGGAAGGAAGGCATTTGCGATGACCAGAAAACGCGCCGAGTTATCACACATGGCAACGCTCAAAGAGATAGAAATCAAGTGCTCCAACCAGTTGCATTACCATTTGTACGTGGATGACACATCACGACTTGTGAGCGGATGTTCCAATTGAACACTTGGGGATCACCTGAACAACTCCACCTTCTGGGTAAATTGCGGAGAATCCCGAATGACACCACCAGGCGGCTGACGTGTATCAGCGCCCTGAGAGAAAAACCTAATGAGATCTACTAACTTAATTAGTTAAAGCGGCCAGTTGGTTAATATACAGCGAATTTACTATCCTGCCTGGGAGATTGCTAACGACACCCGTGGAGACAGACAGACACTAGACAGACAGACTGATATTTTATTTTCGTCTCACCGCTTTACCGCTTTACATCATAAAAAAGAGCTAGACAGGGTCGCCCAGAGTAGTAGGTGACTTCGAGGACGAATGAATGTCTCCTTTCAATTTGCTATTTGGTGCATGACAAACGTTCAGGAAGGATTTTTCAAAAGCGCAGGTCTCCAAATGCATGAATACAAGCCACGCCGATAACATCTTATCCACCTTCTCGGTCAGAACTAGAGTCAGCGGCTAATAGGATTTTACTTTTGTGAATGAGGTAAGTTGTACTTTCTTTCAGCTACTTTACAGTACATTACATTATTTTTACAGTATCTGCTGTTGGTATTTTATTGGCTCCCGAACAATGTAATTCATTCCACGGTATGCCCTGGTGGTACGCGTATATGCAACAACATCCAGTGACATTTTACACGATAAAAAGAAATATTAAGAAAACATACCTATATGGAATATATATGGGAATTGAAGCATGCCTTTGAATTGTTTTGATTGTAAATCAATAAATTATAAGTGTCACGATCTCTTATGTTTGCATGACATCATTTGTGAAGGCCCAACCTGTCGTTTTCCGCGCTGGTTCCCTTCTCACTGATTGGTTTGACAGGCCTTTACCGCGGATCATTGTTGTTATTCATCCGTGCAGATATAACGTGCAAATAAAGGAACTTATTTTACATGTTACTGTAATATCAACATTTCCTCTGACCTCTGATTTCATTGTTTTATTCTGAAAATTCTTATAAATATACCCAATGCTAATCTACTATGCATCTATCAACCAGTCAGTTAGTTGTAATATACGTACCAGTCAGCATCGTTTGAAAACTAGGATCTGCTCATATTGTTCTGCCCCTTGTAAAATGTGGCCATCATTTTGTGCCGTGAGTTATCACAGATGTGAATTAGTTTATCCTGGCCGGTCAGTAGCCTAGTGGTTAAAGCGTTCGCTCGTCATGCCGAAGACCCCGGTCCTATATCCCTAATGAATAAAATGTGTGAAGCATTTCTCAGATATGATATAATAAATCTGATTTCAAAAACAGTTCATTCTCTTATGACATAAATGCAAATGCAAACCAAGAACATTCCTTGTGGCTGTGTCTAAGTTTCTATATCTGTGTAGTAGATACTACTCATAATGACTGCTCGAAAGTCGTGCATGTGTAATGCAATGTACATGAACATTTATACAAAAACATGAAACACAACATTTAATTAATAACATGAAATTGTGCAACACAGATGTCTATTGGATTAAAAGAATAAAGAATAACATTATTGATTTTTTTTTTTGTGAATGTGTAAACTCATCATTTTAGAATACAGAAAAATATACATAAGGCTAAGGTCCAGTGCATTTCAAAATGAGATCATCTATTGTAATTATCTTATCAATGTCAAATTAAACTAAATATCGACACTGTAAGAGCGTGAAATGTATATCGTTTGAGATTTGCAACACTGTTGATACATCACCATATATAGAGATTTTAAATTAGTATATCTCAAAAGAATAATTTATAAGAGGGACAGTGAAGTTGGTAAGTATCTTTGAAATTGTATTAAGATATACAGGCTCTTTTGTTTCTGAAAATAACTTTCAACGATCCAAAATGCAATTCTCTAAATAGCGACGTGAGCAAGGCTCGGGGAACACATCTCACGTGACTCACACAGGGTTCGGTTATCAAAACAATGTTGTCTAAACCTTTCAGGTGCAAAGGATTTCGAAAGTTTGCCATGCTTTCAGTAGATTAGTCTACTACGATCATGCTGCCTAATTGTTGAAATAGTCTTAGATTCAAAATAACAATTTGAACGACAAGACACCGTGACCCAGTGGACTATCCTATACACACCGCTGGGTTCAATACGAATACAACTGCTAGCCTTAGAAATGTTAGCAAGTGTGTACGAGATACGTGAGATGATGTATCCTGGTGTAACACGACAACTGGATGTGCGTTACAATGAGGCTATGATATAGTGGCAGATGAGCACACGGTGACGGATACGCTTGAATATTTCCCATTCCTAGCCATATATGCAGTGATTAGTCTGCGCAGTGGTGACACAAGGTTGTGTGTCTCAGTCACAGCCGGTTGAACGAGCGGTGTTTCTCCACAATACCCATTTCTCTATTTCAGCATGGCTTCCAGCGTCAATCATGAGTTTGTTATTCATGTACGAACTGGGGACGTCCAAGGAGCAGGTACAGATGCAAATGTGTCTGTTATACTTCACGATGAGCAAGGATCATCAACAGACAAATTCAGTCTTGACTATTTCTTCAGGAATGACTTTGAAAAAGGAAATCTAGATGTGTTCCAGTTGCCAAAGGATAAGGCTGCATTCTTAAACAAACTTAGCAAGCTTGAAATATTCCGTGACGACTCGGGCTTTGGAAGTTCCTGGTACGTTGAAAGGATCACAGTGGAGAACAAGTCTAACGGAGACGTGTACATCTTCCCCGTGTTCAGGTGGCTGCGACCTCACTACCACTACGTGTTCCGGGAAAATGACACCTTCCTTCCACAGGATGATGCCCAACAGGAGCAGAGGAGGCTGGACTTGGAGGACAAGCGCAGAATTTACGTAGTGGACACCAGCGATGTAACTCTCCCGGCCTCGGTGAGTCACCGTCACTGAATCTCTGACCAGGATAACATTGCGTGTTAAACACTCTTTAATATTGGGGGAAGCATTTCCTTCGCGGTTGATTTCTCGCATCTACTCAGTGTTATAAACACGGTTCATGCGTTTGATAAGAAAGTATGGATATCTTTTATTCATTATACATTTATCAGGGAGATATACTCATCGATAATTCATATAATTCATCCATGTTCTTAAAATGTTGCAGCTGCCAAACGTTTGTCTCCATAATAGGCATTCTTAACTCCTTGCTTTTCCGACCCGTGGAGATCTGGGGTAGAATAGGTCTTCAGCGACAAAGGCGACTGTGCTTGTCGTAAGAGGCGATTAACGGGGCCGGGTGATCAGGCTCGCTGATTTGGTTGATGCGAGTCATCGATCCCAATTGCGTTGATCGATGCTCATGATATCAATCACTGGATTGTCTGGTCCAGACTCGATTATTTACAGACCGCCTTCATATAGCTGGAATATTACGGAGTGCGTCGTTAAACAACAAACGAACCAACCAAACAAACCTTGCTTTTCCATTGTATTTTCTGTGTTCAGATCAAGGAATTACCTGCTGATGAGCTGTTTTCAAGGCAATACCGGGTAAGTTGTGTCTAATTTGGCGATTTCAAAAGGGTTGCATTCTGTTTCGCAATCGTCTATTTCATTAGACAGAAGCAAACTGACTGCATATACAACCTTACAATATGTTTGAATTTAGTTGTTTAACCTTTAATAACATATCCCATTTGAATCGGAATTTTAAATACACTCACTGTTATATATCATACATCTCTAGTTCATGAAGTCGTGTTCATAATGACGTGATCTAAGGCAACATGGGTCCCTCTAGAAAGGGAGCCCTACGGTTATCGTAAGACTGTTTAAGTATTTGATAGTCATACATGTAGAACTTCGAACCTGCTTGATTACAGTATTGCTCTGTCTCGTGAGAGTTGTTATTGTATGTTTACAAGAATATATTTCAGATGTTTTAATCAACTAATTATTCAATTTAACTTTACTTGCAACTTCGTCACATTTTCAGTGGGATATACAGAAGTTGAAAATGAATCTCATAGTTCAGAGCCGCATCACGATGTTCACAACAGGCAGGTGGAACAGTCTTGATGACATTAGCAACGTGTACGTCAGGGAAATATTCAACCAACCATGGGTAATTATCTCCTTTGTCATTAGCTCAATAAACAAATGTAACATAGGTGCACAATGCTTAAGCACTCACTCGTATTGATAATATATATGTTGATATTTCATTTATATTTCATTACTACTTGTGAATTTGTTTTTGATTATTTTGTTTCTCACTAAAGACGTGATGTGTCTACTCTTTACAGACTAGCCATTCCTGGAGAGACGACTCGTTCTTCGGCTATCAGAGGCTCAACGGGGTTTGCCCTGCACTTATTCAACTGTGTTCTCATATTCCACAAAAGTGAGTTTTCTCCTCAGATATTCTTATACCGTCACAAATGTGATTCCTCACACGTAAATGCAATCGTGTGGACTTTGTAGGAGCTCATTTCCTCCTCTGTTAACACCATTACTTCCGTTGCCCTCGCATATTATTTCCTACAGGGAAGCTTCTCCCTCACCCTCTCTATTATGACAAGTATGTTATGTTGCAATATTGACATGTCGACACAGACTCCATAATGCAATGTTTAATTTAGTTCTTGGTCATCGTACAGTTACTTCTATTACAATGTATGAAGTATAACTTCACGTTCGTACTTATATTCACAGACTGGCTGTCACACAAGCAGACCTCGAGCCAGTCCTGGAAGGGAAATCCGTTGAAGAAGCGTTGTCCGATAAAAGACTCTTCGTTTGTGATCTGAAAATTCTCCACAACTTCAAATGCAAAAGTGAAAACTATGTGGTTGGTGAAGATTTAAGATTATTGTGGGTGTAGAAACGTCATGATGTTTAACAAATAACGAACCATTAAGTAGGTTTAAACCTGACCTTTTCAAATCACTGCAGTGATAAGAAATGACACTATGAAACATCAAACATTCTAAAGCGAGAAGCCGTGGCGTGTTGAAATTACAAACTTGCTGTTAGTTTAGCGTCAATTTAAACACTTGTCGGGTTTTACCGAGTTAGGATTACTCTGTAAGGTTTGACCTTGTTATGTTTTACCTTGTCAGTTTTACATTATGAATTTTAGTTTGTCAGGTTTACATTGTAAGTTTTACTTTGTCAGGTTTTACTTTGCTTGGTTTACTTTATTAGGTTTTACTTTGCTTGGTTTACTTTATTAGGTTTTACTTTGCGGGGTTTACTTTATTAGGTTTTACCTTGACAGGTTTTACATTGTCCGGATTTACCTTGTTAGGTTTACTTGTAAGGTTTTACCTTGTTATACCAGTTTGATTTTACTTTGTCAGCTTTACCTTTTATGTTTTTCCTTGTTAGGATTTACCTTCCCAGGTTTTATCATGTCAGGTTTTACCTTGTTAGGTTTTACCTTTTATGGTGAACCTTTTGTTCTGATTGTTAGGTTTTAAATTGTGTTACCTTGTTTGGTTAACCTTATTAAGTTTTACCTTGTTCGATTTTACCCTGTTTGGTTTTACCTTCTCAGGTTTAACTTGTTATGTTTTACCCTATTAAGTTTCACCTTGTCAGGTTTTACCTTGTAAGGTTTTACTATTAGGTTTGAACTTGTTAGGTTTTACCTAGTTTGGTTTACCTTATTAGGTTTTACCTTGTAAGATTTTACCCTGTTTTGTTCTCTCTTGTTAGGCTTTAGCTTGTTAGGTTCACCTTGTTAGATTTTGTCTTGTCACTACGCAACCGTGAAAAAGTGTTACGCGAAGTATCATTTCTGAAATATTATGAACACAACTTGTTGCAGGTATGCGCCCCCATTGTTCTCTTGTACAGGGACAACCAAGATCGACTCCTCCCAGTTGCCATACAGTTGTTCCAGGAGCCTGGACCTAACAACCCGGTAATTATCACATCACTGTATACGTCTCAAGTGTCATTGCAAAGTCCTGTTGGCCTATTCGTCTGTTTCACCGCAATTCGCTGTGCCAGAACCCTATGGTTCGAAATTTAATTTACATTGATTATGCATCCAGGTTTGTCAGCTCAGTACCCTTGCTTACTGGTTTCACCAAAGTGGTAAAGTTCGAAGCTCTGCATCACTTCAAACGTGCCACCCACACGTCGTGATATGATTTGAAATACTGTTCGAAGCGGTGTTCAAACCAAACCCCTTGCAGTGGCAAACATTCTGAAGTAGGATCCATTATCTGGTATAATTCACAAGTACACGACTTATTTACACATTGTATACCACACCTGTCAGAGGTTTTAACTTTAGAAAAATTAATTCGCTCAATTGTTTAATAGTGATAAAAATAATTGGATTAATTAATTATCAGTAACATGTGTATGTGAGCTGCGATATTTCTGTCAGATGTATCATGTACACATGTTGACAGGATGCAGGATGCAGAATTAACAGGCACAATTTACAAGGGATACATTACACAAGAAATAGCATTAAATATTTTGTGTGTTATGTATCCATTGTAAATCATTGTTAAGGGAAACCGACAATAAATATTCATTTGGACAGGTATTATCATCTAGCTAGATGATGTGTACTTGATAGCGGGAGTGGTGTCATGGAAGGTGATTTATGAACCTGTCTCTCTCAGTCAGGCTTTAAGCCCTCATGGTATCCCGCAATGATTGCCTGGGGTTAGTTGATGGCCGCTTATGAGTCTTGTTTAAATAACAACTGTAAATACCTTGTGCTTATACTGTGTGAATCTGGGGGAAATAACTGAAAGTGTAGCACACTTTAATTACAAATTATATAGTCCAAAATATACTTTCAAGTGAGCTTCGGGTTCACCTATTTTCCAGTTTGTGGAACATTCCCAATGAAGACATAGCTTATAATGCATATTCAACATTTTTTCTAAGTAATTACGTACAAAGTGTTTTGTATATTTTTGATAAGCTTTTAACCATTCTCGGCATAATATGAAGACAAAGTTTAATGACACTAAATGGTCGACTACTTCTCTTTTAAATGTTGTTTTTATAAAACACTACGGACAGTGTTTGTTGGCTCTAAAAATTGTATCAGCACACCTTTCGATATTGCAGGTGTTTTTACCATCTGACGACCCGAAAACGTGGCTTCTGGTGAAGATGTGGTATAACCAGGCAGAGGCCACCTACCACCAGTCGCTCACCCATCTTGGTCAGTATACCTAATAACACTTCCATACACAGAATTGACGGTCACACACGACGCTCTGCTGTAGAAGAACCTTCTAACGTTCACCTTTCTTTAGCACTGTACATTCAATGGTTCATTATGTTTTCGTTTATTAAATAGGGTCTATGTTCCTCATTTTGCTGTCAGTTTCAAGTCAAGGTCTAGACGTGTCATGTGTAAGGTTTAGACAGTGTCTCTACCATTAGAGTCAATATTAACTTCTGGATTGATCTGCAGTACATCAATGATGTGGATTTTTTTAGAACTTAATAACCAGATATGTTTGTCCCTAGCTTGGACTCTCTTCAAGTGATACGTGCGCGTTCATTAGAGGTGTACTTGCTATTGTTTGGATCATTGATGTCTGGGTGCGAATACATGGTGTCGGTCATGTGCAATCCCGTAAGCATTGTTGTAACCTCGCACTGCTATGCTACACAAAAGCAATATCGGTGATAGTGTTGCAAAAGAGTCTGAGAGAAATATACATGGAAATGAAAGTCAATACATGTTGTTGGTTAAAGGATAATGTTATTAATAATATATGATGTGCACTAACTGTCAAAGCTGTTTCTTGCAGGATATACCCATCTGTTGATGGAAGGAGTCACTTTGGCCCTCCATAGACATGTATCCATCTCCCACCCAATCTTCAAGCTCCTGGCACCGCATCTCCTGTATATTTTCCCCATCAACAAGTACGTGACAATATAAGAAATGGATCTCGTTTGTATAAATTTAGCCTCGGAATTGTGTGACAAAGTGCAACAGCATCTCATAATTACACTCTTGACTTTGAAATCTAGGGACAACCATGCTTAGTGCCTATGACAAACTGATGGCGAGTTGTGTGTATATAGGTTTGCCGTGGAGAGGTTACTATCTGTTGATGGATGGATCGACAGCACCATGGCAGCCGGGAGGAACGGTGTGCTGGAATTGAATCGGAAAGGGTAGGACAGTTTACGGTTCATTATTCCACACTCTAATCGTCTCTGTTGTAACGTTGGTAACATCACGGTTTGCGACATGTCTCAAAAGATGTGGCTCTTGACTCGTCACATCAATAACATAGTCCAGTTCGATAAGAGAACACATGTATAGAGCTGTGTTATACAATGCATATGTCCACATATTACCTCATTCTGCACGCTGTTCACACTATTGACAAACTGACGTAAATACGTTAATTATCACAATATATACACATGCACCTCCATATAAAATCCGTTTTAAGAAGAAATACCCAAATAAAAGTCAGTTGGACACAAAACATTGTGGTGTACGATTATCCTTCACCAGTGAAGATCGAAGGTCTACATGTACAAAGCATTGGTATGAATTGTATGTGGCTAATGAAGAATTTTAACAGTAATTTGTGTTGATGTGTCTTTGTCTTTCCGGTTTGAGAGACTTGTGGTAAAAACATTCGCACGTCACGACGAAGGCCCGGGTAGGAATCGCAACACAAGTACAATATGTGAAGCCCTTTTATTGTGTTCCCTGACGTGATATTGCCTGAATATTGTTGAAAACGGGGTAAAACCATTCTCACTCACTATAACACTTTCTGTTTCCAGAAGAAAAGACTGGCGGATGGACATTCAGGGAACACTACCCGAAGACCTCCGAAGGAGAGGGGTAAGTCATGGAATGGTACACTATACAGTCGGTTGATAATTCACAAGACAGGCAAATACATTTATGTAGCAATTATCATTAACTGTGTTTGGAATCATTACTCTATTCGGAACGCGACCAGAATACACAGATGTTTTTATGTCATTTGTGTTTGTGATGCTAACTACATTGTTACAAGCCAGGGTCGAATACCTCGCATGCGAGCGTCCTGCAAAACTTGTTTGGCTTAGCTGAGACTCGCGTTAACTGTCATGTTCCAAACATTCCCTTAGTGTCACAGTGACAGGAAACGCTGAACTGTTGAGGGCGTTACAGTGGCTACAACACAAAGTCAGTGTCTTCGGAGAAATAAGTATTCGTTTCTGTGCAGATACCAATATTCATTACACCAGACCGGAGAATTAGGTGTATGGAAGCTTTCATATATACATACTACTCAGAATAAGTAAAATAACACCTGGTTCTTTCATTATTCTACATTCAATTTGTCGCGGCATGAAACATCAACTTCTTTACATAGTATTTCTGCGGTATGTATTTCTGTCGACTTTCGTTCTGGGGGGTAACAGAGTAGGTAGCATATACTTCATATTACATCACACACTGTAACAAATAGTAACGTAAAGAGGCTGTGACATGAGGCTGTCACACATTTGTTTGTATAGATATATTACCTTCAGTCGAACCCTGTTGTCTCGAATTCCCGGGGGACTAGAAAATTTCTTTTACTCATTTGGGGTTCGAAAAATCCGATTCGATCTTATTTCATCTGATCTAGCCTGGTCCTGACTGTTCAACACCACCAGGAATTCGACACAACTGAGTTCGAGACAACGAGGTTCGGCAGTACTTGCTTTGAAAGTACAGTTTAGACCATCATTTCGTGTTTCTTTGAATCCAAAGATGACGATGTGAACTGTGAGTGGTCATTACACAGCAGTTCAAACAATATTAATATGTGAGAATCTATCCATTTGTGATAATCTAAAAGTATCCTTCCCATGTCATTTCAATAAAGGTGTATCGCTGTCCATGGTCACTGAGAAATATATGTATACATGCCTCTGCCCAGGTGTCCGAGGAGAATGTTCTTCCTGGGTACTACTACCGCGACGACTCTTTACTACTGTACAACGCAATAAAAACGTACGTCACAAGTTACGTTGACCTATATTACGGTAAGTAATATTTTCTATTCAATTATAATTAACCCTTCAACAGCGTGATTTAATTGTATCAACGTGGCAGGTTATATAGTCTGTCTGTAAGATTAATCAATCGTTCAAGAGAAAGAGATCCATATAAGCATCCAGAAACGGTGACCAAACGGTACTATTCACATATATCGCCGTACAAGAATTTTCAGCTAATGCCGCGACCTTTCGAGAGAAAATCAGAACGTTACTTTTGAAATGTTGTGTACATGTACCGCTATATATAAAGCTCTGAAGCAACGATTGAACATTCTCTTTTGGAATTTCTATTTAACCTATATGGGAGTGTATTCAGGAAGCGAAGCCAAAGAACACTGGTATATTTTCATTGTTTTACTGAAGCAAACAAGTCATTAGGAATCAGGTTAGGAACAGGTAAGCAGCAATTGTTAATTAAACAAATATTCAAATATTGTGTTGTTTCTCATCAGATACACCCCAGCGTCTCGCTGACGACACAGAAATGCAGGCCTGGGCCAGAGAAATGGTTCAGAGACGGGAGAACGGCGGGATGGACATTCAGGTAGAACTTCTTCCTGTGTATGGGACCTGTGGAGAGCCGGGTTAGAATTGGTCTTCAGCAACCATTGCTTGTCGTAAGAAGTGATTGACGGGATCTGGGTGACTCATGTTAGACCGATGCTCATGATGTCAATCACTCGGTTATCTGGTCCAGATTCCATTATTTACAGACTGGAATAGCTGGAATGTTGCTGATTGCGGAGTTGAACTACCAACAAACAAATCCTGTGTATGGACAGTGTAGTGATGCATAACCTGCAGACGTAGAGCATGTTGTTTATACCCACGAGGTTATATAATCGAACAAGGGAATGTAATGTTTACTTACAGATCGCACATAAAGTGATATAATAATAAACAAATCTCAATCGGCTCATGTGACTTGGGCCTACTAATTACGTTTATAACATGATGTCTTCCCATTGCAAAGATGTTAAGGAGAGAACATACATTCGTGTAGGGAGATACGCAACGACACCTGTCCACTGCTGTGCAGACATCAATGCTTATATTTGTATCTGCCGTCGGATGTGCACAGGGGCTTCAGTGACGGTTATCGTGTTGCCGAAAACAGGAACTGTAGGAACCCATAACATAGTATATATAGTAATATCTAATACATTCGGTAGGGATTCGGGAGATAATAGGCAATCACTACCTCATGTTTGTCGGGACAACTAATTAAAATTTGGATCCGGTGGTCAGGCTCTGTGACTTGATTATTTGTCACCGTACTTCGATCACTAGTTCAGATACTAGTTTATTTTGTCCCGTCTTATCAATTACAGGCACACTAGATATAGCGTTGATATTACTGACATTAATGTCACATGAAAAAAATACTCATACACCAAACAGAAATAGTATGTTTAGTCTTGCAATGAAATGCAAGCTAAAGAATTCACGGGTGTTCTCGTGACATTTGGTGAATGACGTTATAAACCTAATGCCATGCATTTGTGAGTGAGTTGGTTTTAACGCCGCTTTCATTAATTGGTATTTGGGTTTTATCACTGTGTTAAGGGCGACGTGGTAGACTAGTCTTTTAAGTGTTTGCACGTCACACCGAAGGATCGGGTTCTGTTCCCGACATGTCTCCGACGTGCCCCCGCCATGATATTACTGCAATGAATTTAGAAATGAAATTCACTCACGCGGTTCTCAATTAATGTGTAAGGAAAGCCCGAACAGATGAGGGCCCAGAGGTTACCCAGTCGGTGAAACCCACTAGCACGGTATACGTCACAAACCGAGTTACAAACCGAGTTTGTTATACCGAGAGCCTTTTGTTTTTGCCAGGGAATACCTGGCAATGGGAAGTTCCGGGACTTAGATGACCTTATCCTGACGTTGACGTCATTCATCTTTACCTGCAGCGTGCAGCACGCTGCCGTCAACTTCCCCCAGTACGACTACTACGGCTTCCCGCCATTATACGCTCTGACACTTGAAGGTCAACCTCCATCAGACAAGGTAGGATCAGCATGCATAGTTTCTAGTGTGTAAAACCTCCATCAGACAGGGTAGGATCAGCGTGCATAGGTTCTAGTGTGTGTTACCTCCATCAGACAAGGTAGGATCAGCATGCTTAGTTTCTAGTGTGTGTTACCTCCATCAGACAGGGTAGGATCAGCATGTGTTGTTTCTAGTGTGTATTACCTCCATCAGACAAGGTAGGATCAGTATGCTTAGTTTCTAGTGTGTATTACCTCCGTCAGACAGGGTAGGATCAGCATGCTTAGTTTCTAGTGTGTATTACCTCCGTCAGACAGGGTAGGATTAGCATGCTTAGTTTCTAGTGTGTATTACCTCCGTCAGACAGGGTAGGATCAGTATGCTTAGTTTCTAGTGTGTATTACCTCCGTCAGACAGGGTAGGATCAGTATGCATAGTTTCTAGTGTGTATTACCTCTGTCAGACAAGGTGGGATCAGCATGCTTAGTTTCTAGTGTGTATTACCTCCTTCAAGCAAGGTGGGATCAGTATGCTTAGTTTCTAGTGTGTGTTACCTCCATCAGACAAGGTGGGGTCAGCATGCTTAGTTTCTAGTGTGTATTACCTCCAGCAGACAAGGTGGGATCAGCATGCATAGTTTCTAGTGTGTATTACCTCCAGCAGACAAGGTGGGATCAGCATGCATAGTTTCTAGTGTGTATTACCTCCAGCAGACAAGGTGGGATCAGCATGCATAGTTTCTAGTGTGTATTACCTCCAGCAGACAAGGTGGGATCAGCATGCTTAGTTTCTAGTGTGTATTACCTCCAGCAGACAAGGTGGGATCAGCATGCATAGTTTCTAGTGTGTATTACCTCCAGCAGACAAGGTGGGATCAGCATGCATAGTTTCTAGTGTGTATTACCTCTAGCAGACAAGGTGGGATCAGCATGCATAGTTTCTAGTGTGTATTACCTCCAGCAGACAAGGTGGGATCAGCATGCATAGTTTCTAGTGTGCATTACCTCCAGCAGACAAGGTGGGATCAGCATGCATAGTTTCTAGTGTGTACAACCTCCATCAGACAAGGTGGGATCAGCATGCATAGTTTCTAGTGTGTACAACCTCCATCATGGGGGGATAAGCAAGCATAGTTTCTAGTGTGTACAACCTCCATCAGACAAGGTGGGATCAGCATGCCTAGTTTCTAGTGTGTACAACCTCCATCAGACAAGGTGGGATCAGCATGCCTAGTTTCTAGTGTGTACAACCTCCATCAGACAAGGTGGGATCAGCATGCATAGTTTCTAGTGTGTATTACCTCCAGCAGACAAGGTAAGATCAGCATGCATAGTTTCTAGTGTGTACAACCTCCATCAGACAAGGTGGGATCAGCATGCATAGTTTCTAGTGTGTACAACCTCCATCAGACAAGGTGGGATCAGCATGCATAGTTTCTAGTGTGTACAACCTCCATCATGGGGGGATAAGCAAGCATAGTTTCTAGTGTGTACAACCTCCATCAGACAAGGTGGGATCAGCATGCCTAGTTTCTAGTGTGTACAACCTCCATCAGACAAGGTGGGATCAGCATGCCTAGTTTCTAGTGTGTACAACCTCCATCAGACAAGGTGGGATCAGCATGCATAGTTTCTAGTGTGTATTACCTCCAGCAGACAAGGTGGGATCAGCATGCATAGTTTCTAGTGTGTACAACCTCCATCAGACAAGGTGGGATCAGCATGCATAGTTTCTAGTGTGTACAACCTCCATCATGGGGGGATAAGCAAGCATAGTTTCTAGTGTGTACAACCTCCATCAGACAAGGTGGGATCAGCATGCCTAGTTTCTAGTGTGTACAACCTCCATCAGACAAGGTGGGATCAGCATGCATAGTTTCTAGTGTGTATTACCTCCAGCAGACAAGGTGGGATCAGCATGCATAGTTTCTAGTGTGTACAACCTCCATCAGACAAGGTGGGATCAGCATGCATAGTTTCTAGTGTGTACAACCTCCATCATGGGGGGATAAGCAAGCATAGTTTCTAGTGTGTACAACCTCCATCAGACAAGGTGGGATCAGCATGCCTAGTTTCTAGTGTGTACAACCTCCATCAGACAAGGTGGGATCAGCATGCCTAGTTTCTAGTGTGTACAACCTCCATCAGACAAGGTGGGATCAGCATGCATAGTTTCTAGTGTGTATTACCTCCAGCAGACAAGGTAAGATCAGCATGCATAGTTTCTAGTGTGTACAACCTCCATCAGACAAGGTGGGATCAGCATGCATAGTTTCTAGTGTGTATTACCTCCATCAGACAAGGTGCGTTCAGCATGCATAGTTTCTAGTGTGTATTACCTCCATCAGACATGGTGGGATAAGCATGCATAGTTTCTAGTGTGTATTACCTCCAGCAGACAAGGTAAGATCAGCATGCATAGTTTCTAGTGTGTACAACCTCCATCAGACAAGGTGGGATCAGCATGCATAGTTTCTAGTGTGTATTACCTCCATCAGACAAGGTGCGTTCAGCATGCATAGTTTCTAGTGTGTATTACCTCCATCAGACATGGTGGGATAAGCATGCATAGTTTCTAGTGTGTATTACCTCCAGCAGACAAGGTGGGATCAGCATGCATAGTTTCTAGTGTGTACAACCTCCATCAGACAAGGTGGGATCAGCATGCATAGTTTCTAGTGTGTACAACCTCCATCAGACAAGGTGGGATCAGCATGCATAGTTTCTAGTGTGTACAACCTCCATCAGACAATGTGGAATCAGCATGCATAGTTTCTAGTGTGTACAACCTCCATCAGACAAGGTGGGATCAGCATGCATAGTTTCTAGTGTGTATTACCTCCATCAGACAAGGTGCGTTCAGCATGCATAGTTTCTAGTGTGTATTACCTCCATCAGACATGGTGGGATAAGCATGCATAGTTACTAGTGTGTATTACCCCCAGCAGACAAGGTGGGATGGTGTGTTTTTTTCTTTGAAACAATGTCCCTGAAAATTCTTGAAAACTCCAATTATGCTTGATACTGTTGACAGATAGTAGATATGAGTGAATGGTAGTGGACTGACAGGTGTAAATTTAATGTTATTTTGGCTGCCTGGCGTCTCATATCTGTATGCTACGCTACACAACTGGGAAGCTGTGTGTTGCAACACCCACTACTTATGGCATTAACTGTAGCCATATGAAAACAATCGGGTGTTCCTTGACTTGTTTTGAGTAGGATATACTTCCCGTTGCATTTGTTGTTTTCACTCATAGAATACCATCAACAGCCAAACTAGTGTAGGGTCCATTCAATCCTGACATACATTCTAGGAAGCTTATTTCAGACCCCTAGAACAGAAGCGGATATCCTCAATGTGCTACCCGACAAGGAAAGGACCTTTGATGCAATGATCGTCACCAAAATACTCAGCCAGAAGGGAGTGAACAGTCTCGGTGACTTTGAAGTTCAATATGTGTTTGACCCTAAAGCAACGGAAATTGTTGAAAAGTGAGTACCTTCAAGTGTTACAGCATGCAATGTGTTATTTAACCCGTATTACTGTTACGTGTATATTTGCCTTCACTATGTTTATAGCATCTGGCAGAGGACCCAACTGTAAAATAAAATAACGTTATCCAATTATTTCAAAATGACGTTAGTCCAGTGCTAATGACGTCATATGAAATCGATTACGATTAGTGATATGTGGAATGTTTGCTTCATCTACATGAACAGCGTATACGGGGATATAATTACAGGACAAACGTCTTAAAATTACGCCCTGCGGTCAAAGGCCTCGCAAAATGCTGTGCAGAGTTGCATGCCATCGAATGATTATGATCCTTGGCTTGTCAGCGGTGAGGTGAAATGGGGTTTAACGTCTCGTCCAAGATTATTGCACTTATATAGCGACGTGCATGCATATGTGTGTGTGTGGCTGCTTGTACTAGTCCGGACTGATGCCGATTAATAGTGCTAGCCCACGGAGATACCATGCAGCAGTTTAACATGAATACCCCACTGCGACACAGTATACTGACTCCAAGCCGACCAGTCCTTGTTTTAGCCCCTTAATGCCGAGCGTCAGACAGGGAAACAACAAGCACCATCTTTTAACGTCTTTTGGTATGACGCACCCGGGGATCGAACCCAGGACCTTCCGTTCTCCGGGCGGACGCTTTACCACTAGATCATGGAGGCTTGTCAGAACCTTAGCTCTCCAGGTTGGATTCACCAAAGTGTAACACTACGTTTTATATCACTGAATCACTGTTCAAAGCTACCTTAATCCCAGCTCACAATGTCCCCTGAGAAACTCTCAGAAATGACAATCCATGAGGTATTATCAATTTGGAGTAATGAGTTTCTTTAACACCTTGCATGTGTTTCAGATTCCGGAAAGACCTTGCGAGTATTGGAACGTCAATCAGTACCAGAAACAGGTCACTGGACATGCCCTATGAATATCTCCATCCTGACTCCATACCGAACTCTATCAGTATATAGAGACAGATCCCGAGACTAAAACAACCCAGTCGTATAAGTCGCCGCAATTCGCTGTACAGAGTTGCCTTCCTTGTGTGTGTCAGAATCCTTGGATCGTGGTTTTGCATCACAGATTCGCCGATGGTGGGTCGTGATTTGACAACACCATACTCGTTCTCGTAGATATGCTTTAATGCGGACTTCCTTCATTATTAAGCTCACATGCCGTGATGAAACTGAAATACTGGTCAAAACTGCGTTGAAACAAACTCCCTCACACACTCTTTAATAACGACATAATGCAAATCGCTGACCCCCGAATACATCTGTACACTGTTTACAGTTGCACAACGGCATTAACTTGGAACTTATTCTATCCATGAATCGTCATTGTTATTAATATTCTTGATCAATAATATGATATTGTCTTGGGCGCAGGTAGAGTATGTATGAAATTCACAGAACAAAGCCACAACAGGAATCATTTTGATAAGACACGACCGAACCTGGTACTGCAAATCTGTAAATCGAAGTTAAACAATAAATTAAATGTAAAATGCAGCGCATGGATATATATAATGCTAAAGTTGATGTCTCTGCTATACTCACGTTATTGTGTCAAAAGAGTGGGGGTTTATTTAATGGTTTTCGTGTGTGTTAAATGTGTGGTCGTTACAACATCGAGATACTGTCACCTTTAAACCTGCATCATCACATCAGCCACAATAGTGTTATGTTGAATTTCGAGTTTGTCAAACTATTTCTTTGGACCTAGATATCGAGATTGACACAGGTGTGCCACTGTATGACAAGGCTGGATAATTTATCGAATTCACGTCATAGATTTCACAGGAACTGTTATGACGTCATATGACAATCATACGTTCGTTCCTGAAACAGATTATACTAACTGAAAGAGAATAATTAATTTCTTTACATTTCGATAGAGTGGACACAGCTTGTGGGTCTTGAAAGTGCGTTGACTTGTGCGACAATCATCGTTGAGAAATCGGAAATGTAAGCGCCTATAAAATCTTTATTCATTTATAAAACTGCACTGTGTCTCTATCTGTTCGTACGCCCAAACAACAAACTGCATCGTAAAAACTGAATCATTGGTTTACGATAACCAAAATCCAAAGTGTGAAGTTTGAGAATCGTGTATAATAGTTCCCCTACAACTAGGGTTTAGCTTGTCGCCTAAGAAATCTCAGATGGAAATGAGCTAAATATGTGTACAGAAATATCAATACACAAAGTAACTATCCCGAGTCACTGGCGGGTTCAACACACAACTCTTAACCCTTATTGTGCCTGGCCGTCAGCTGGCTTTGTATAACGCTCAGTGTCGCACTGTGATAACGTCGCGGTTTCAAAAACGTATACATGGTTATCAAAGTGTTACAGCGTTCTAATTTCTTCACACGGTGTAACCAAATTGTATCACAACCAACTCGAGTTGATTGTCATTCCAACAGTATCTAAAGTCAACAAATCCAAAAGATGTATGCATTGCTTAGCCATCGATAAATTGTAATTTGTTTGTGTGTTTTTTCATTGTTTTTTATTCAGTTCAGTATATGATGTTACATTGTTATACATAGAGTAGCACGTTATGTAGTATACTTATTAGGTGTAGGTTAAATAGCTATACAGAAGACAGCACATTTTAGTTGGCTACAGGTGTCCAACAATGTTCACAAATGGTGAAACGGGCAGGCTACATTTGCCAGGCTTGTTAACTAAGTGTGAAGCCTAATCCTTACAGCACATTAGTGAAAATTGTTCATGTTAAAGATAGAGACATTTTAACTAGTCAATTTTATGTCAAACTGTCTTATTGTATTGTTTTGTGTTCAATTGATTTCTCCATCCGAAATAAATCGATTAAGGTCTTCAGAATGTTTTCAAGTGACAATTTGTGACACACCGTTTGTCGACTATCAGCCCACCAACAATTTCCAATAACATATATCCAATTTATATGCCTGAGTTTTTGTGTAGTCAGGTTCAATGAACTACATACTACCTGTGCGTTTCCTTTTTTGAAGAGTGTATTCTTTGGGTGTTATGATGTGTTAATGGTTTTCATCTAACTTATACAAAGCTTGAAACGAGATGTAATTGGTCAATTTTAATACTTGAATTTGAAAGCTCAAGAAGAGTAGAGTAGGCTATATTTGATACAAAGAAACGATAACTTGCACAGGTGAAAGGAGGCAATATTAAGTTATACCTAGATTAAGTGAAAGAAAAATTACGAAAATATGAATTACTTTGATTAAAGTAGTGTTCAATGTATATACAGTTCATGTGCTCAAAACTCTGGACTCATTTGTTTCACTATGACCACCAGAAAACATACATCTTTGTATCACCTTGTATCTCGCACTTGGCTGCCTTACTTCGACCTTTGCCCAAATTATACTTGTATGGACAGTCCATGAAATTCAACCATTTCCTTCATTTTGTTTTATAAATACGACTTTAGAAGTTTATTTACATCTATAGGTATGAACATGTACATTCAAGGACATCCGTGACAGTTTATTACCAGTACAGTTTCCCATTTCATCCCATTCTACTAAAAAAAAGTAGATAATGATTGTAGGTAAATGAAAGCAATGAAATTATTTGTCACAAATGGAAAACCATATTCTTGGTATTGAAATTCGAAAATATAACAAGCAACATATTTAGTATAAAGGGTTTAGAGTTAATATGCCTTTCCATTTTGTCTTTTGGCCTAGCTTAATTGCAGCTTGGAGGGAACATAAACAATTTAAAATTGTGAGAAAAAAAACTACAAGAATGCATTCATTTTGCTCTTAGACAAGATTTATATTTTTACCAAAAGTATTTCTTACTAAGTATACAAAACAAAACAATTATTACTAAATACGTGTGTCATTGATCGATTTATTAAATGAAATCACAAATATTTTGTCATCAAGAAATCGATTATCAATATATATTGTGCGTAGATCTAATTACGTTTACTGTATATGTTATATATTGAACCATGCGAGATTCTAATATATGATGCGAAAATTGAAAAGGTTGTTTAACATTTGATCCATTTTGACAGATTTCTCACTGTAAAACATTCCATTCCCTTCCAAATACCAAGGGTCAAGTAGGGACAACTTTCAGTGTTTACAAACAAACATGGCGTCGTACTTGTCATTCGGCGATCGAATCAGAATTACCAATTGGGAATCTGGATACACTACTAGGATAATTGCTACCATTCTAAAGAATAGTCTGATATACTGAATATCAGTGTCTGCCTGTGGTGTAGGCATTTTACAAGTTTGGCAACTTTGGAGATATAAATTACGAAACAATTCACCGAGGACACTAGCCTAGCGCCATTACGTAGCAGGATCAGTTTCGATATCTGTGCTTGTAGACCTATGCGGTTTGGAACCTTTCCCCTAAATTGAAACAGTTAATAGTGTTATTCCATATTGATGTACACACACTCACAAATTCGTCATCCGATTGATAATGGCGTCCCAAGTCAACACTGAATACATGACTTTACAGTGTCAATTTCTTAGTTCCAGTTCCACTTAGTTACTTCTAGTTATTTCTTGTCCCGGTAGTGTGGTTCACATACAATTTACATTTTTTATGATAGCTCCATGAAGCACACCATCTCACTTTTCAAGCTAACAGCTGCGATCACCCGGGTGCTCTGTGTGCTATTGATTAATGTCTTTCATAGATGTATATCAATTCAAACAGCAAAGACAAATACATACGTTTTACACAGAGAGCATTATATCTCTCTAATTGCCTATTTGAAGGCATTAAAGTAGTCAATATCTAATACAAAATTATCAACAGCCAAAGACTACCCAAAAATCTTAGAAAGATTTTGACAAGTTCAAAATTTGATTCTGTTGTCATCACTCCACAGGTTTCTAAGTGCGGTGACAAACATTGCCTAACTTGCAGCAATATAATTGAAGGCTGTTCAGTCCAAATTACAAAGGACACTAAATTTACTGTAAAACAAAATATGACTTGTGATACTAGAAATGTTATTTACTTGATTGTTTGTAGTGGATGCAATGAAAAGTATATCGGAAAGACAGAACTTAAATTAAAAAGAAGAATGAATCTTCACCATTCACAAATAAAGCAGCCACACAACCGCACGATTCCACTCAGTGAACATTTAGAAGCATGTGGAAACGGCAACTTTTTAGTTTTCACGTTATATAAGCTAAATTTTGATCATGAACCTACATTGTTTTTTCAAAAAGAGCAACATTTCATTCATAAATACGCGCCTGTAAAAGTTAAATGTAAAGGCGTAAGTTATTTGTCCATTGACACCTTGGTATTGTGACGTCATAGTTTCCTAAATGTTATGACGTCACGTAACTATAGTTACTACTTCATGTCCGTTATTCAGTTATGGCCTGATGAGACTCTTACGTGGTACGAGTTGAAAGCGCTAGCCTCTTAAAACTGTGTTCAATCTTACTCCACTTATTTATTTATTACTATATATATATTTATCATATAATGGGTAGGTTTCTCGGCAGGATAAAGCCAACAGATAAAAACGATATCGGTTGGGGTCATATGCGGATAGAGATGCAAATATCAAAGGTCAAGTAGGGACTACTTTCACCGATTATAAACAAACATGGCGTCGCCTTCGTCATTCGGCGATCGAGTCAGATTTAACCATCGTGAATCTGGATCAACTACAGAGATAATTGCTTTCATTATCAAAAGAACAGTCTAATATACTGAAAATCTTACTGTGACGTAGCCAAGGCATTTTATAAGTTTTGGTAACTTTGGAGATATAAATTTCGACACAATTTTGCGAGGGCACGAGGCCTAACCAAGTGGGATCAGTAGCCATATCTGTGCTTGTAGACTTCTGCGGCTTGAACCTTTCTATGTTTGTGAGAGAGGGTAGGCGATTTTGAAGCACAGAATTAAAGAATGACATTATATGATAAAGAGGTTATCACGCTTGTGTGTTTGGGGATGGTAAATATCCCGTATTAGGAATAAACACTATATCTTTAATTCTGTGCTTCAAAATCGCCTACCCTCTCTCACAAACATTACCGAAACATTGCGAGTTTCCTGGAATGCGCGCATTAATATTTATTACGTCACAGGGTAGGTGATGTCGAACAGTCGAACAGTGACATAGCCAATATAGTTCCAAATGAAATCTCTTTCTTATACAGTGGCGAAGCAACATATACGCAATTTTAATTGCCTTTCGCGGCAATCCATCGGTCTGTCTGCTAGAGTAGCTGCCCTTTGTCAAAGGGAAGCTACTCTTACCCTAGTCTATGAGACGTCACGGCCACGGTCAGACGTTGTTGACAGTCGGTCTGTCCTGTCATAACGTTAAGAAGAGTAGTCAGATGTACACACAGCTACAAAACGAAACAGGGTAACAATTCAAACAATCCAACTATTTAATTTGTGGAGAGAGGTTCAAGCCGCAGAGGTCTACAAGCACAGATATCGCTATATATATATATTGCATTTACTAGAGATGTAATTATCAGCTGACGATACTGAGGGTCAGGTCTTTTGAATACACATCTTTTTGGCTGCACTGTGCAACACGCAATTGGGATCGATGACATGCATCAACCAAGTCAGCAAGACTGACCACCCGATCCCGTTAGTCGCCTCTTACGACAAGCATAGACGCCTTTTACGGCAAGCATGGGTTGCTGAAGACCCATTCTACTCCGGATCTTCACGGGTTTTAGTTAGCTTCAATGTCTGCACTATGCAACACGCTGCCTGGGACCCCAGCTTCAATGACTGCACTATGCAACACACCGCCAATGACACCAGCTTCAATGGCTACACTATGCAACATACTGCCCGGGAACCTAGCTTCAATGGCTACACTATGCAACCTACTGCCCGGGAACCTAGCTTCAATGGCTACACTATGTAAAACACCGCCAATGACACCAGCTTCAACGGCTACACTATGCAACATACTGCCCCGGAACCTAGCTTCAATGACTACACTATGCAACATACTGCCCCGGAACCTAGCTTCAATGGTTACACTATGCAACATACTACCTGGGACCCTAGCTTCAATGGCTACACTATGCAACATACTGCCCCGGAACCTAGCTTCAATGACTGCACTGTGCAACACACTGCCCGGGAACCTAGCTTCAATGGCTTCACTATGCAACACACTGCCCGGGAACCTAGCTTCAATGGCTGCACTATGCAACATACTGCCCGGGAACCTAGCTTAAATGGCTACACTATGCAACATACTGCCCGGGAACCTAGTTTCAATGACTACACTATGTAACACACCGCCAATGACACCACCTTCAATCGCTACACTATGCAACATACTGCCCCGGAACCTAGCTTCAATGACTACACTATGCAACATACTGCCCCGGAACCTAGCTTCAATGGCTGCACTATGCAACATACTACCTGGGACCCTAGCTTCAATTGCTACACTATGCAACATACTGCCCCGGAACCTAGCTTCAATGACTGCACTGTGCAACACACTGCCCGGGAACCTAGCTTCAATGGCTTCACTATGCAACACACCGCCCGGGAACCTAGCTTCAATGGCTGCACTATGCAACAAACTGCCCGGGAACCTAGCTTAAATGGCTGCACTATGCAACATACTGCCCGGGAACCTAGTTTCAATGACTACACTATGTAACACACCGCCAATGACACCACCTTCAATCGCTACACTATGCAACATACTGCCCCGGAACCTAGCTTCAATGACTACACTATGCAACATACTGCCCCGGAACCTAGCTTCAATGACTGCACTGTGCAAAACACTGCCCGGGAACCTAGCTTCAATGGCTACACTATGCAACACACTGCCCGGGAAC